TCGACTGACAATGGACGGCTACCCAATTGTGAAGCAAGCCAATGAAAATGGAGGAGACTACCTACCACTAGGGAAGATGCAAAGCAGTAATTCGTCACAAGATGAGAGAAGCCAGCAATTGATGGCGAATCAACCAGAAGTCGCATCGAGCAAACCTCGTGCTACACGCTGTCCTACTGATTCCGCGATGCGATTGCTCTCAGGCGGCATAGTGCCCCGATTGTTTGCTGATGATTGAGGGAAACGATGGCCTGAGCTCGCAAACTATCGGCTTGCCCTCTGGAACAGTATGATGCTGTTCAGATTTGCGACAAGTGAGATGAGGTGCAGTTGGGGCCGCGGTGCGGCGGATCTGACTCTGATAGTGAGATCTGTGAGCATTCAAAGCAGGAGCCTGAGAGCTGGTGGCGGCGGCGGCGAGCCCCTGGTTTGCGAATCATGACACGTATGGATGGGTTAAATTGAATTTGGTGTTCTGGTCAAGTCGTGCAGAAGCGCGTATGGGCACGGTGATTGGCCACGTCCAGGGTCTGGGGGGCGCGCTGAGTGCAGTAGACCGTCTGAGCTAATGTTGAGCCAGATGCCGCAAGCCTGCCAACTTGGCACTGGCCGCCAGGGAGGCCCATTCAAGTTATGTGTGCCTCAGATGTTGGTAGAATCCTGGTCTCGCGTTTCTGACATAACACTCGGGTGACCGGCCTCCAGTTGCCTTGTCTATGAACTGCCCAAGTACCTGTATGCGCGTAATAGAGCATAGTCCGAGGCTGGGATGCTGGGGCAACCCCTGGGCTGACGAGAGCATGATGGCGATGCCGCTCATCAGCCCTGATGAGGCAGCGCAGACCGGTGTCCTTCTCAGGAATAGGACGGCCCGCCTGCATACTGCGTGCGGGGTATCGTGAAGCATTCATGGAAGATGGGAGGGGCTCATAGACAGTTGGATCGATATATTTCAAGCGATCATCTGCTGGCTGTCGCTGCCGTGGAGCCTAGAGTTCGATGGGCTGTGAGACGTGACTGTTAGCCCTGACAGACGACCCAGTGCTGACGGTGATGGCCTCAGATGCGGATCATGAACAGGACTTGGAACGGGGGGGGGACGCCGGTCGCACGGCCAATCCGACTATATTGGAGTTTGACCGGCCTTCCGTGACGGTTGCAGGCTGGTTCTGGAAGGTCAATGGCATCTCATTGTACGTGTCAAGACGTGTCGCTTATGGACGTGTCACCTTCGCGCGCGAGTGGTGTTTTCGCGTCGAGACGCACCTGAAGAGGGGAACGGACGTTCGGCTGGGAAAGCAGGCAGAGACGAGACGAGACGAAATGGTGCATTGGGCTGTTCCTGCCCGGATCGAGATTCTCCACCTGCCCTGGTACCTGGGATGTTGGTCACAACGACTGGACAACATGCAACTAGCTGCGGCTTGCACCGAATGATATGTGGCTGAAGGTGCACACCATGTCTGCATGGCCCTGACTGCCCTGTCAGTGGCAGCCAGGCCTTCTGCTTTCTGTCACAAGAGAGGCACAGGGGATGCACCTTCTGTAAATCAATTGCTGGTGAGAAGCCACTACGGCAAGCGACACACGGCCCCGCGCGGGTTGGATATACAGCATCAACAATGGCAATATCCAGCGCCTAGGTACCTAAAGCCGCATCAATGCATTCATAACACCTTATCTCATCGTTGACAAACATAACGACAACAACAATAAACTATAGATTGGCGACCGCAAAACGACCCGAGTGCCACGGATTGGCAATCATTCAGCGCGAAAACGATCTCGAAAGCCTCCTCACCATGTCGCAATCCGAAGCTGATCCCACATGCCATGTATAAAAAAAGGGAATCATCAGCCACACGCTGGGAAGCATGGCACAACTCAGCGACCCGCTTGCACCTCTCCTCAGTTGCGACCTCTCCACCGAAGCCCGAAAGAGCCCACCGCCTGCGGATACGCCTGTTACCCATCGTCATAGCTGTTCGCGTGCGCTCCGCTCCATTGGCCCTCTTCCTAGCCCCGCGCCGACGCTGGAGTTGAAAGGGAGGACGACCGAGAATCAATGAGTGGACAAGAACGAAACGTTGCTGCACATTTTCGAGCTCTGGAAAGCGATCACCAACAAGTTCAATGGTCCTGGCCGAAGAGGAAGAGATCCCGAACGTAGTCCATGTCTCGACGCTCATTCGCTCCAGCAAACGTCTATCCCGTTCTGTGCCCTCAGCCCGTCCAGCAATCCCAGCTTCGCATCGGCCACACCTCTGCTCCACTCATCACCACCCCTGTAGGCCGAGAAACACGCCAGCAACCAACCCGGCTTTCGCACACGGACTGACTGCCCAGGCGTCTCCACGCAATTTACACTACCACGCATACGCCGCCCACTCGACGCTGACTTGACGGTTTGCGGCTGGGCTGGTCTGGTCGCCTCGTTGTCGGCATCTTCTATGTTCTCGCGCTGATATTTCGCCATGTTTTGCCGTCCGTGTCGGATCCTCCGAGGTGAAT